GTTTTTCCGATCACACGAGGGGAAATGGCGAAGACTGAGCGGTACAACGAGCAGCTACCTGTCTAGTTGTGGATCTGCGGGGACATAATTATGACAAGCGTCATTACGGACCTGTACATGGANGTACATGGAGAGTTACCGAAGCCTTCGTGATGACATTCTGCTGACCAGGTAGCTTATCCGCGGGAGGAGCTGAAAAAAGTTTCCATTGCGCAACCATGCACATACTCGTCGTCACTGTTTCACGCTCCGGAAGCAGTAGTCATCCGGACTTCCGTCAGTGTACCGCCTCTCCGGGAGAGTGACCGACATTCGGAATGCTCTCCTGGGGGAAGAGGAAAATGATGACAAGTTCAAACAGCGGCTGGATGATTTTCTATTAATCAGGCGGGAAGCTGATCGGCAGCTTGTCCGGATTCGGAGGAGAGAAGACTCATATGGGGGAAGCCCCTAATGTCTTTCATCCCAGAAGGTGAAGGCGAAAAAACCGCATACGGCTCAAATATCCTATGCAACTGCATGAGATCAACTCTATCCCAACCTGTGATTATTTAACGTAGACCAAGCGCGACTTTTCATTCAGAATTCCCTCTTGGATTTATTCTGTTCTTACAGGTGGTACTTTTTCTCTGATACATCACCACAAAATCGAGGAATCCAACTGATAACACTTTCCAAAGACCTTTAGGTTTGAAGAAATGCATATGATTTCAGTTTTTAAATTCACTCGATTACTCTCATACATAAACCCATCCCCTAAGCAGGACACCGGAAAAGTTGATGACGGTGCCCACACAGTGAGTGTCGGCCTAGGACAATGTTCGACAAGCGAAAATAGGGCATTGGGTAGCGAGCTCATGAGTCAAGTGCAATCGTCCCATCCGAAAAGTATCAGCTTAATGGTAGAAGCCACTGGAAGCACAACAAACGGAGTAACAAAACCAAAGTTTAAATTAATCGGAAGAAAACAATACTCTAAACATACGCCGAACATTGGATTGTTTGCCGTATTATAGTCATTTTGTCTTTGGTTGCATGAAGATCTATTTTCCGTTAAACAGTATCAAAGTCTAATCATATTACTTGCTACAGGTCCCACATCTGTTTGTCGACGGAAAACACATCGGGGGTGAAGTGGAAATAAAACGACTTCATGAAAGCGGACAACTGAAGACAATTATCGAACAAGCTGGACAACGTGAAGTACCTCTACAAAAGCCGGAATTCTCCTCCTAGAAAAAACCTCAAATTTGTTCCTTTTGCTGTAAATTATATCTTCCGTAAACACAAAAGATGATCAGCAATCACGATGTAAATCAAAATCCATTATTAGGACTGCGTTCTTCGATTGGATAAAAGTATTGCGAAACTTCTAAACACAAAATAAAACCGAGTCTAGAGGGCTATCAGTGAATGGAGTGCAAACGATTTATCCCGCAATATGGACACGTCGCTCGCAGCTAAGACCTGTAAAAATACAGTGCCGCTGTTTTATGCCTATGCTAAATTGTCCAAGGTGTACATTCTCCGGAATAGTGATATACTGTAGATCTGTCTTCGTAGTTGAATGCAATCACCCGGCCTTTTTCAGTAGTGTGACAAGTCGATACCACATGAAGAACCACTTCCCGAGTACTTCCGCTCCTACTAGTCAAGCGAATCTAGCAAACTAATGAGTGCTTCGAAATTTGTCAGCCGTACAACCCATCGTTCTTTATGTGACAACAGTTACTACTGAAGAAACCTGCAGATTGACGCTGCGCCTAGTGGCATACTGTAACGCATTCATTTAACAGCCCCGTACACCGAGGTTGGGGTTGCCAGACGCTTCATCGATATACTCTACCAACGACTCACAGGCAAAGAAATAGCAAGTGGCTGCAACGGCCCTTAATTGAAAAGCGCTATGCCTTGTCACTGCATAACACGACAATATACACCATTTGCTCTTACACTAATATAATAGCGAAAATGCCACTGGAGGCTATAGATGGAGTCTTCAGACTTTCTCTGACAGACGGTTTTCCTGCTTATAATACCGTCCTGAACCGATTGTGTCCGTTTTCTTAGTTGAAAATTTGTAGGTCCGATGGTTCACAGTCCATAACAAACATTAGGTACATGTGTGATACAGGCCCTAGTGAGAACAGTCTATTCTATTTCGTAGCAGTTTGGATCAAACCATACATCAGGTACGTCTTCGTGCCCTCAAAATAAAGATCACCAAGTGAAGCTGCGAACGTCTCTCGTACCAAACTCCCAAGTAACCTTCTACGGAGACAATCATGAGCCGGCTTATTCTTTCCCAGGAGCAAATCGTAGTAAAGTAAAGTGTCTTCGTGCCACGCGGCACTGGTGGTTGAACTGTGATAGTAAACACTTAACCTAATGAACGGACAAGATCATTCCAAAGGAATCTCTATAAACACCGACGAAAATTAGCAACAAAAGTGATCATACAGATTTGTTTGGAACACAGTCTGGAGTCAGACGCGTGTGGAATATATAATGATAATCGATTACGTCCACTGATAAAACTATTCTGATAGGTCGACTTGTTTGGGATAAAATCACCACAGACAAAGAAAGTAACGCGAAATATTTGGTAACCACCCTAAAAATATTTTGGAGGATTTTTAAGAATGTCACCACGGCAAGTGATGTTTGCCGAGGCAAGTAATGAGTGGAAAAAAGCCAAGGGTGGTCAACCTAAGACCTGGCACGAGGGTATGAAAATCCTAACCAAGAGACTGGGTCACAGAGGTCCCATTAGGCTTCCTGGCTGGGGACCTCTGGACGATCGTAACCGATGGTCAGAGATACCGAGTACCGTAAACAGTGGCCTTCGTACACCTTCTAACTTTCTTTGCAACCCTCCTGTTCAACCAAAACCGGCGCACTGAATTGAATTGATATATAAAATGCACCTCATACCTCGTTACAGATTATATACACAGAAGTTTGAGTTACAGCTTTCCAGCATCAACCACAATATTCACTCATTTATTCTACGCCGGAGAGATTCGCATCACGCGAGGATATTTTTACATCATGAAACAACCTCGTCTAGATGGATAAGTGACATCTCCACTGTTCACAATAGCGAAGATGACGAACCCTGATTTAAAATAGTCAATTAAGAACTCAAAGTTTTATCTAACCTCTATCGACCAAACTAAAACTAGCCTTTGCTGAAAAAATGAAAGATACCGCATGAATCATGTCTTAAACGATTTCATTACATCTCAATTGGTGTCTAAGGCATAAAAATGCGTTGATGGAAAGATATTCTTGGTGTGCTAGCAACAAGACTTGTTTATTATCTGGGTGATCCCTTCTCAGCCATGACTGTGCAAACCACCAATCAAACTTATCAGAAACAATCCATCTTTCTATAACATACAAACAATCCTTCACCACATAGATTGACCCCAATGGATTCTCCCCTCGAAGTTGTGCGACTGATCAAACACACACAAATCCCCATGTTAATTCGTTCTAGCCGTCAACAACAGCAAATTCCCAGGAAATGGGATGGGACTTGATGTAAACTCACAATTGTTAAGTTCGTTGTTCGTCCTTGGTTGAAACGATGAAATNTACCCTCGCTGGGAGTCGAAATCACGAATGGGCGGTGCCTACGCTTTTTGTGCAACACACGCCTAGTTTTAGAAGTTCATCCGGTGAATTCCAAGGAAAACCTGTAGTGACAGTCAGCTCAAATGCTACCTGGCGGATACCATATACCTCTTCAAGTTGGATGGGGTGATCCGAATGTGAAAAGATCAGTGCTTTTGGTGTGGCCTCGTAGCTCAGGTAGTAGAGCGTGCGTTGTACAAAAGGCGTAGGTACCGCTCATGTGTGAGTACTGATCCCACTGCCGCTACAGAACTTTTCACAGTTCCAGTATAAGCGACCAATGTCATATCTGGGCAAAAACATAACCAAAATGAGTTTGTATGAGGTGGTTACGGTCGAAGAAACTAGAACTATAGTTTTCACTTGCTGTTCAACGGTCCAGGATACATTTT